GAGTTCAAACTTCACACACACAAGGTACATCATGTTACAAATATGTATGTGCATTTGTTTCATGATCTCATTAACGATAGCCAAATGGCGGCCGCTTTAAGGCCGAAAATGCATTGAAATCGCACATTTTCACCATTCCGGACCCGGATCTCAGTTATGCATGGACCGATTTCATTCAAATTTGGTACATACATTAAACATAATAGGACCTTGATGCACGTCATTTTTTTTTTCGGATCAAGTTCCAAATAGCCGACTGGCGGCCATTTTGTTTTAAAGAATTCAGTTCTGGATCCGTATCCGAGACATGCTTGGATTGATCGAGTTCAAACTTCACACACACAAGGTACATCATGTCACAAATATGTATGTGCATTTGTTTCATGATCTCATTAACGATAGCCGAATAGCGGCCATTTTAAGGCCGAAAATGCATCAAAATCGCACATTTTCACCATTCCTGACCCGGATCTCAGTTATGCATGGATGGATTTTGTTCAAATTTGGTACATACATTAAACATAATAGGACCTTGATGCACGTCTTTTTTTTTTTCCCGATCAAGTTCGAAATGGCCGACTGGCGGCCATTTTGTTAAAGAATTCAGTTCTGGATCAGTATCCAAGACATGTCTGGATTGATCAAGTTCAAACTTCACACACACATGGTACATCATGTCACAAATAGATATGTGCCTTTGTTTCATGATCTGCTTAACAATAGCGGAATAATGGCCATTTTAAGGCCGAAAATGTATCAAAATCACGTATTTTCACAATTCCAGAACCGGATCTCAGTCATGCATGGATGGATTTTGTTCAGATTTAGCACAATGTGTTGTACATATGCAGGTGCATTTCGGTCATGATCTGCTTTGAATGTACATGTCACTCAAATATGAACGGAACGGGGACGTGTCATTGACAATGACTTGTTCGAATGATAATTCTCAAGAGCGGGCATTTGCATCACCAGGCAATCAGAACTGGTGAAAACAACGGTCAGAAACTCTTTGGCCTAGTTGTTCAGTGTCATCTCATAGTTGAGTTTGTACGGTGTTCTTGACTTTAGCTGTTTTCACTAGCAGTTCATGATACATTGTACACTGTGTATCTTGGCAACCTAGAATGTTCTGTGATGTAGTTCTGCCCCTGAGAAAATGAAATACAGTGAAAAAGTAATAACAGCATTTATATATGAACTTTTTTGAAATTTGAGCTTTTATTACACAATATTGTTATATGATATTGTTGCATTTCAGGAACAACATAAAGAAATGGAAAGTGAGGTTAGGTAAATTTCTTCTGAATAATCAGCCAGAACTAGGAGCAGTTGAATCGCGTGTTCGGAAGATTATTGTACACCCACAGTTTGATCCAGAAACGATGGATAATGACATTGCATTATTGGTTCTAAGAACTAACATCCATCAGGCCACTGACACTATCAACTATGTATGTGTGGACAAAAAGTTGGATTTTACTGAAGGAGCTTATTGTTTTGTTACTGGTTGGGGAGTCACTAAAAGTAAGTGGATTTTTTACTATTGTGTGGAGGATTTAATTACTTGTGATGTAATCTGAGGTTGCAGAATTTCAAAGCCAAATTTCCTAAAACACCTTTAGCTTGTGGTTGCAAACAATATATATATCGGTACTTATCGTTTATTCAGTAGGCAAAATGCTGAGGCAGTGGGCATCATTATAACTTTTAACTCTGCGAATACATTTAGGGTATTTTGCTACCATTGGAAAAAAAAAAATATACAGCAAGAGGGGTTGAGTTATTTTAATGTTCAAAATTCTTTTTAAAAAAAATGTATATTTAACGAAAAATTGATCAAAAATGCGTTTTTTGAATACTTTACAATAGATTTCTATGGCAGAAACATTCCATCACATCTCAACATTTTGTTTGATGACCTATGCTAAAAAAAATGATATGCAGTGTTAAATGTACAAGTATCAAATGAATGTCACGAAAAATGGGAGAACTTTGACTATTAGTACAAGTTATTAATTGAATATGTTTACATGCATTCCTAAGGGGAAATGTTCCAAATTGTTGCTTTTTGAATTACTTTGCACATGTTTTCTTGGAAACGCATTCTTTGACCGTAAAAAATGTGTGTGTGTGAATGAATCATCACTGAACAATTGATTTACTGAATGACGATTTACTGTTATCAATTTGTTGTTAGCAATCTTAATATTAAACGTTATTATATTCACTACGTTCAATTACCCACCATAGACTCCGGTCAGTCAAAATGACTATTTTGAACTGTAGGCATTAATCAGCGATTCTGCCGGTGACGGAGTGATAGAATCTAGGTCAGGGGAAGCCCCATGACCTCAAGATTTGTTTACCCCTTACGTCACGAACCCATGTGACCGAGGCCACATGGCAACGCTATAGGTAGCCGTCCATCACTCTTCAATTCTCTCCGCCTCGTCGGGGAATGATTCTGAGCGGCTCTGCCTGGCTCTGTTGCTTTTTCCTGTCCGGGTTTCTAGCGTGGGTCGTCGCCGCAGCCGCGGCATCCGACATTCTAGCTGGTAGGATAAGTTTTTATTGTCTTTTTACCCTCGTGTCATTTTCCCCTTTGTGTGTTATGCTTTTCCACAACAAAGAAATCAAACCCGGCGCCACTACGTAATCGCATGTTGATTTCATGGCAGCACCTTTTACAACTGTAATTCGTTTCTCTCATGCATGTCGTCTTTTATTTTTAATGTATTTAGAAATGGACAGATGCACTGGCAATGCCAGAGGCTCACCGCCGGTATTGTCTCCTCAGTTTATGAGGCGGATTTGTACTCGGTGTACGCAGCAATTGCAGGAATGGAACCCGCATTCAAAGTGTTATCGTTGTTTCACGTGCGTTCGGGGTTTGGGTGTCTGCCCAGAGAATGTGTGTAATTGCTGGGGTTCGGAAGCCTGGGAATCATTCCAGCAGCATGTCTAATAGTCGAGACTGACCGCGTCACTCGTTCGC